TGTGTGTGTGTGTGCCATGCAGATGTTTTTTTTTATTTTATTTTTTTTATTATTATTTTTTTTTTTACAAATCCATGTAGTAACTGTCTGGCTACAACAAAAATTAGGGCATGTAAGATAAACATCTTTACTTTCTATTTCTATTATTTTGGAATAAAATAACCCAATGCCACCTTGTCATACTATGAATTAAGTAAATAATTAAGTTCATCTCCGCTTCACACCCTGAGTTTCAGAAGTAACTGGAAATTACATCTAAGTTACAGTGAAGATAATGTAGGTAACGCCCACTTTCTATCACGTGTTCAACGCCACCCAATGAAATTACGACAAGTACCTAAAATATAATATCAAACCCCTCCCACAACTATTATATAAAAGAATGCGTGCGTAGATCTTCACATATACACACAGTTCTTTCCAACGTTTTAGACAATACTTATTTGTTGATGCAAACAGTTTAAGAATGGCAGTATTACGTTTGTTAACATGGTCGTTCTTGTTGGTTCTTGTTGAGCATAGTTCTGTTTGTGGACACAGTGTTATCAGCTGGCAGAACAAGATCCCAATTCTTAGAGGCCTACCGTCACTGGATACAGGCACTGGTACCGTTGATAGGAACACAAAAGAAAAGGTTCGTACGAGTATTAACAAACTGTTCCGAGGGGATTCTCGATTAATATTGCAATTAACTTGGGGGGTTTTGATGCCTGTCACGCCTGCTGAGACTGATAGCGGGAACTGTCGTTTAGCGGCTTTAGTGGGCGTCCCAGCCGCTTGGGCTGAAAGCAATTTAGCAAGGAACCCCGTGGAGATGGACCGATCCTGTTAGATCGATCTAGGGATGGGAACCCAGTCTTATGCAGTGTGCCCCCTTTACTTTACATATGCCGTGGATTTTCGATGTTTTATCCGTAATTTAAATTTTTTTCGATGCCTATGCTATTTAAATATTATTAATTTTTAATTTATTTACCGTTTTTACATGTTTGTTACTGAAATTACCTAAGCACTCGTAATGTTAGCATGGGCTTTACATTTTTGTTAAGACACCGAATACATGTATCATCAAATAAATTTGCATGCTAATTTATATGAATAACGGACATATTGATCAAATTGACCATGCGAATGAATTAAAAAAAACATGTTGAAAATAAAAGATTTAAAAGTACCAACTGCTATTGCAGATGACGTTCACCCGTTGGCACGGTTTCAACAAATAATTCAAATCTAAAATGGTTCTTTTCTTAAGGAATATCATTTGTCTGCTTCGAACCAAGATGAAAATGTAAAAAGGTCACTTTAAGTCTGATCTTCTTCCTCAGTTACACAGAGTGAAAAGGACCAATTAATGGAGATTTATTTTGCCGAATGGATTGAAAATCTGTAGAGTAAACCCCTTTCTTCTCGAAGGTTATTATGCCATAGTTATTTCGTTAATCATGGGTGTGCTCACAACCTTTGAGATGACGACCATGCTAAACTGCACAGTTAGTCCACAACAGTGCTTTACTCTGAATCAAAAAATCCTCAAGGTTATTAACTCAATAATTTTGCTGCCTCTTAAATCATTTTACCTTATTGCTGTAGGTAGATGAATTGGAAAAGAAGTTCTATGAAACAGGCGAGGAAATGCAGAACACGATGGCGAAAACGCTGCTACAAGAAAAGTCAATGGAATCCGCTCTCGCTGACACACTGGGAATCGCCTCGGTAAAAATCAAGAGAATGAATGCACCGAAAGGTCAGTGATACTTAAACTGGTAAGAAATAACGGTTAAATTTTGTCTTAGAACATTCATGGCTATGACGCTAGTGCATGCAACCAAGTTTACAATGTTTGTCATACTTAGAAATATTGGGATTAATGGATTTTGAATATGCCTCGATTGGGACTGGGCCTGGGACGCAGGCGCCTTTACAATGTGCACGATTTTTAAATTAAAATTGCTTTGGCGACCGTTTAGAGTCCTGACCACATTTGTGATCGCAGTAGGGACTCAGAAAAGAGCCCACCCAATGTTATTACGTATTTATGTATTTATTTCATATTTATAATTATGTAATGTATTTATTTCATATTTGTAATAAAAATGACAAACTTTGTAATATTTACAGTTTGCAAGGCCCAGGCAGACATAATATTTATCTTGGACGGATCTGGTAGTGTCAGCACACCCGACTTTGACAAACAACTACAATTCATCAAGTCTTTGGTGAGGAAATTCGACGTTGGACCAAACGCGGTAAAGGTCGGCGTTCTGCAGTACTCTACCTACGCAGTGCAGGAGTTCAACCTTAACACTCACAACACCGAGGCCGCCATCCTAGCCGCCGTCGACAGGATCAAGCAGAAGAGAGGTGGTACTAACACAGCTTTCGCCCTCTCCACCGCCCGCAAGAGTAGTTTCACAGCTGCCAAAGGCGATCGACCGAACGTCCCGAACATCGCCATCGTCATGACCGACGGCCAGTCTATTAACATGGCGGCGACCGCCAGAGAAGCAAACATGCTGCGTAATATTGCGTCTGTGTTCGCAATTGGAGTTGGGAGTAATGTCAGAACTGCCGAGCTGAAGGCCATGGCTAACGACCCGGCTAGCAAATATGTGTTTACTGTGGCAGACTTCAGTGCCCTGTCAAATGTAGAGACAAAGTTAGCCACGGATGCTTGTGCACGTGAGTAGGTGATTATTTCTTAACACGAAAATTAACGCGTTAGTATCCCCGTTTTTAGTTTATATACTATATTTACCAACGCATGAAAAATATGGGTGCTCATATCTGTAGATTGACAGCCGACTACTGCGTTTACTGCGATGTAGGGACTGTCATAGCTTTATCTTACCTCTCACCTCAATATGTNACTAAAAGGGTATGGATAATGAAATACATTCTTGATAACGTGTATTTTCCCTACTTTACTCATAAAAATTGTATATGTGTGAAATCCATAAATGTCAATGTCCAAAACAGAATTATCTTGGCAAAAAACAAACAGTTGACGTTTTCAATATCTAATAATTACAGAACAGATGAAATTCATGTATTAATTTCATATTTATAATTATGTAATGTATTTATTTCATATTTGTAATAAAATGGTCAACTTTGTAATATTTACAGTTTGCAAGGCCCAGGCAGACATAATATTTATCTTGGACGGATCTGGTAGCGTCAGCACACCCGACTTTGACAAACAACTACAATTCATCAAGTCTTTGGTGAGGAAATTCGACATTGGACCAAACGCAGTAAAGGTCGGCGTTCTGCAGTACTCTACCTACGCAGTGCAGGAGTTCAACCTTAACACTCACAACACCGAGGCCGCCATCCTAGCCGCCGTCGACAGGATCAAGCAGAAGAGAGGTGGTACTAACACAGCTGTGGCCCTCTCCACCGCCCGCAAGAGTAGTTTCACGACTGCCAAAGGCGATCGGCCGAACGTCCCGAACATCGCCATCGTCATGACCGACGGCCAGTCTATTAACATGGCGGCGACCGCCAGAGAAGCAAACATGCTGCGTAATATTGCGTCTGTGTTCGCAATTGGAGTTGGAAGTAATGTCAGAACTGCCGAGCTGAAGGCCATGGCTAACGACCCGGCTAGCAAATATGTGTTTACTGTGACAGACTTCAGTGCCCTGTCAAATATAGAGACAAAGTTAGCCACGGATGCTTGTTCACGTGAGTAGCTGATTATTTCTTAACACGAAAATTAACGCGTTAGTATCCCCGTTTTTAGTTTATATACTATATTTACCAACGCATGAAAAATATGGGTGCTCATATCTGTAGATTGACAGCCGACTACTGCGTTTACTGCGATGTAGGGACTGTCATAGCTTTATCTTACCTCTCACCTCAATATGTCGTAGATAAACTGCTAAAAAAANCCATCGTCATGACCGACGGCCAGTCTATTAACATGGCGGCGACCGCCAGAGAAGCAAACATGCTGCGTAATATTGCGTCTGTGTTCGCAATTGGAGTTGGAAGTAATGTCAGAACTGCCGAGCTGAAGGCCATGGCTAACGACCCGGCTAGCAAATATGTGTTTACTGTGACAGACTTCAGTGCCCTGTCAAATATAGAGACAAAGTTAGCCACGGATGCTTGTTCACGTGAGTAGGTGATTATTTCTTAACACGAAAATTAACGCGTTAGTATCCCCGTTTTTAGTTTATATACTATATTTACCAACGCATGAAAAATATGGGTGCTCATATCTGTAGATTGACAGCCGACTACTGCGTTTACTGCGATGTAGGGACTGTCATAGCTTTATCTTACCTCTCACCTCAATATGTCGTAGATAAACTGCTAAAAAAAAATTAGTCTTACGCTGCTAGAATGGGAATAAATTAAGCTACATCTGCCTCTTTGTCAATTATGATTGCTTGTAAGCAGCACATAACTTTAAAATGGTCATTATTTGATCTTACTGGCGCATACGGACGTCTGTGTATATATATATATATATATATATATATATATATATATATATATATATATATATATATATATATATCGGTCTGTTTGGGGATGTATTTTTTACAGCAGCTGTTTTAAAGGTACATACGAACCGAGCATCAGTGGAGCGTGGATTCCCATTAACACATATTAACCACTTCTACTAGTTTCTTATGCGACTCAAATAAATTCGACATGCGAAGGGATAAACTGAAAAGATCAACTGGATCAGCCATAAAAGAGCTTTAAACTGCTCCTTTCTTAAAATTTTTGGTCAAAAGTTTAACCTACTTTCGTGAACTACTTTTCTGCCCCATTGACATACAGTATAGATTTAGAATGCTAGCAGAAAAATCCCTTCAAACATCATTTTCAGGTAAAATTATACAATGCCTTTTGGTAATTCTCTTAGTTATACTACTTGAAACTATTTCCTGGCATTTGGTTGGCTTTTGTGGCAAAATTGACTTTATATGCATCTTTAATGGTGGTTATCACAAAGTCCCATAGAGACATATACAAATGAATTGTATTCTTATTTGCTTCTTCTTTATTTCATCGATTTCTTTAATTCGCAGATACTAATGTCTTCTTTGATTAAACTTATTTTCTGCTGAACCGCCAGGTAAGAATAAAAGGATATGGATAATGAAATACATTCTTGATAACGTGTATTTTCCCTACTTTACTCATAAAAAATTATATATATTTGAAATCCATAAATGCCCCATTGACATACAGTATAGAATGCTAGCAGAAAAATCCCTTCAAACATTGTTTTCAGGTAAAATTATACAATGTCTTTTGGCGATTCTCTTAGTTATACTACTTGAAATTATATGCTGGCTTTTGGTTGGTTTTTGTGGCAAAATTGACTTTATATGCATCTTTAAAAGTGGTTATAACAAAGTCCCATATAGACATGTACAAATGAATTGTATTCTTATTTGCCTCTTCTTTATTTCAACGATTTCTTCAATTGGCAGATACTAATGTTTTCTTTGATAAAACTTATTTTCTTTTTTAGAGGCTACTGCTGCACCGCCAGGTAAGAATAAAAGGATATGGATAATGAAATACATTCGTGATAACGTGTATTTTCTCTGCTTTACTCATAAAAATTATATATATTTGAAATCCATAAATGTCAATGTTCAAAATAGAATTATCTTTGCAAAAAGCAAACATTCGACGTTTTCAATATCTAATAATTACCGAACAGATGAAATTCATGTATTTATTTCATATTTATAATTATGTAATATATTTATTTCATATTTGTAATAAAATGGTCAACTTTGTAATATTTACAGTTTGCAAGGCCCAGGCAGACATAATATTTATCTTGGACGGATCTGGTAGCGTCAGCACACCCGACTTTGCCAAACAACTACAATTCATCAAGTCTTTGGTGAGGAAATTTGACGTTGGACCAAACGCGGTAAAGGTCGGCGTTCTGCAGTACTCAACCAACACAGTGCAGGAGTTCAACCTTAACACTCACAACACCGAGGCCGCCATCCTAGCCGCCGTCGACAGGATCAAGCAGAAGAGAGGTATTACTAACACAGCTTTCGCCCTCTCCACCGCCCACAAGAGTAGTTTCACAGCCGCCAAAGGCGATCGGCCGAACGTCCCGAACATCGCCATCGTCATGACTGACGGCCAGTCTAATAACATGGCGGCGACCGCCAGAGAAGCAAACATGCTGCGTAATATTGCGTCTGTGTTCGCAATTGGAGTTGGAAGTAATGTCAGAACTGCCGAGCTGAAGGCCATGGCTAACGACCCGGCTAGCAAATATGTGTTTACTGTGACAGACTTCAGTGCCCTGTCAAATATAGAGACAAAGTTAGCCACGGATGCTTGTGCACGTGAGTAGCTTATTATTTCTTAACACGAAAATTAACGCGTTAGTATCCCCGTTTTTAGTTTACATACTATATTTACCAACGCATGAAAAATATGGGTGCTACGTCTATAGATTGACTGGCGACTACTGCGTTAACTGCGATGCAGGAACTGTCACAGCTTTATCTTACCTCTCACCTCAATATGTCGTAGATAAACTGCTAAAAATACAATTGGTCTTCTGCTGCTAGGAATGGGAATAAATTAAGCTACATATGCCTCTTTGTCAATTATGATTGCTTGTAAGCAGCCCTTAACTGTAAAATGGTCATTATTTGATCTTCCTGGCGCATACAAACGTCTGTATATATTGGTCTGTTTGGGAATGAATTTTTTACAGCAGCTGTTTTAAAAGTACATACGAACTGAGCATCATTGGAGCGTAGATTCTCATTAACACATATTAACCACTTCTACTAGTTTCTTATACAACTCAATTAAATTCGACATGCGAAGGGATAAACTGAATAGATCAACTCGATCAGCCATAAAAGAGCTTTAAACTGCTCCTTTCTTTAAATTTTTAGTCAAAACTTTTGCCTTCTTTCGTGAACTACTTTTCTGCCCCATTGACATTCAGTATAGAATGCTAGCAGAAAAATCCGTTCGAACATCATTTTCAGGTAAAATTATACAATGCCTTTTGGTAATTCTCTTAGTTATACTACTTGAAATTATATGCTGGCTGGCATTTGGTTGGTTTTTGTGGCAAAATTGACTTTATATGCATCTTTAATGGTGGTTATCACAAAGTCCCATAGAGACATGTGCAAATGAATTGTATTCTTATTTGCTTCTTTTTTATTTCATCGGTTTCTTTAATTCGCAGATACTAATGTTTTCTCTGATTAAACCTATTTTCCTTTTGAGAGGCTACTGCTGCACTGCCAGGTAAGAATAAAAGGGTATGGACAATAAAATACATTCTTGATAACGTGTATTTTCCCTATTTTACTCATAAAAATTATATATATTTGAAATCCATAAATGCCCCATTGACATACAGTATAGAATACTAGCAGAAAAATCCCTTGAAACATCGTTTTCAGGTAAAATTATACAATGCCTTTTGGTAATTCTCTTAGTTATACTACTTAAAATTATATGCTGGCTGGCATTTGGTTGGTTTTTGTGGCAAAATTGACTTCATATGCATCTTTAATTGTGGTTATAACAAAGTTCCATATAGACATGTACAAATGAATTGTATTCTTATTTGCTTCTTTTTTATTTTATCGATTTCTTTAATTCGCAGATACTAATGTCTTCTTTGATTAAACTTATTTTCTTTTTTAGAGGGTACTGCTGCAACGCCAGGTAAGAATAAAAGGTTATGGATAACAATGAAATACATTCTTGATAACGTGTATTTTCCGTACTTTACTCATAAAAATTATATATGTTTGAAATCCATAAATGCTCCATTGACATACAATATAGAATGCTAGCAGAAAAATCCCTTCAAACATCGTTTTCAGGTAAAATTATACAATGCCTTTTGGTAATTCTCTTAGTTATACTACTTGAAATTATATGCTGGCATTTGGTTGGTTTTTGTGGCAAAAGTGACTTTATATGCATCTTTAATGGTGGTTATAACAAAGTCCCATGTAGACATGTACAAATGAATGGTATTCTTATTTGCTTCTTTTTTATTTCAACGATTTCTTTAATTCGCAGATACTAATGTCTTCTTTGATTAAACTTATTTTCTTTTTTAGAGGCTACTGCTGCACCGCCAGGTAAGAATAAAAGGATATGGATAACAATGAAATACATTCTTGATAACGTGTATTTTCCCTACTTTACTCATAAAAATTTTTATATTTGAAATCCATAAATGTCAATGTCCAAAACAGAATTATCTTTGTAAAAAGTAAACAGTCGACGTTTTCAATATGTAATAATCACCGAACAGATGAATGCCATTTAATTTATCATAATAACAGTCTGGGTCGGTGGTATACATGTGAATATACATTCAATTTTCTTTCTGTAGTTTACTGTCAGTTTGATTTCAGCTGATAATGTGTATTTAACTAATATTTGTTTGCTCTATTCTAAAAGTTATATCCCTCCAGTCTCTCTCTCTCTCCTTCTCTCTGCAATAAAAGTTCATGCCATCATCTTCACATCTCAAGCAGAGTTATTTGCATTATGATGATATCTTAATTTTACTTTTGAGTAGATCATTGGAGTTAGTGTCACTTTTTTAAATTGTTAAGTGAAATCAGGAAGGCAATTGTGAAGTACCAGTGACGCATTTGACAAAGCACTTTTAGCGTCTTTCTATGGTATCTTGTGGTATTATACACAAAGGAGTTTCTTTCTAATTTATAGTATTAACACATGCAAACTATCTAGTGCATCATCTTTTTTCCGCTTTTTTAATGTATAAAATGATAAACTTTGAAATATTTACAGTTTGCAAGGCCCAGGCAGACATAATATTCATCTTGGACGGATCTTTTAGCGTCAGCACACCCGACTTTGCCAAACAACTACAATTCATCAAGTCTTTGGTGAGGAAATTTGAAGTTGGACCAAACGCGGTAAAGGTCGGCGTTCTGCAGTACTCAACCAACACAGTGCAGGAGTTCAACCTTAACACTCACAACACCGAGGCCGCCATCTCAGCCGCCGTCGACAGGATCAAGCAGAAGAGAGGTGGTACTAAAACAGCTGTTGCCCTCTCCACCGCCCGCACCAGCAGTTTCACGGCAGCCAAAGGCGATCGTTCGAATGTCCCGAACATCGTTATCGTCATGACTGACGGCAAATCTAATAACATGGCGGCAACCGCCAGAGAAGCAAACATGCTGCGTAATATTGCGTCTGTGTTCGCAATAGGAGTTGGGAGAAATGTCAGAACTGCCGAGTTGAAGGCTATGGCTAACGACCCGGATAGTAAATATGTGTTTACTGTGACAGACTTCAGTGCCCTGTCAAATATAGAGACAAAGTTAGCCACGGATGCTTGTGCACGTGAGTAGCTTAATATTTCTTAACACGAAAATTAACGCGTTAGTATCCCCGTTTTTAGTTTATATACTATATTTACCAACGCATGAAAAATATGGGTGCTCTTGTCTGTATATTGACTGGCGACTACGGCGTTTACTGCGACGCAGGAACTGTCATAGCTTTATCTTACCTCTCACTTAAATATGTCGTAGATACACTGCTAAAAAAACCAACTATATTCTTGAGCTGATATGGATGTGAATAATTCAGCTACATCTACCTGTTTGTTAATTATAACGGCGTGAATGCGGCCCTTAACTGTAAAATGGTCATTATTTGATCTACCTCGCGCATACGGATGTCTGTATATTTCGGCCTGCTTAGGGATGTACTTTTTACAGCAGCTGTTTTAAAGGTACATACGAACTGAGCATCAATGGAGCGTGGATTCCCATTAACACATATTAACCACTTCTACTAGTTTCTTATACGACTCAAATAAATGCGAAGGGATAAACTGAATAGATCAACTCGATCAGCCATAAAAGAGCTTTAAACTGCTCCTTTCTTTAAATTTTGGGCAATAATTTTACCTACTTTCGTGAACCACTTTTCTGCCCCATTGACATACAGTATAGAATGCTAGCAGAAAAATCCGTTTAAACATCATTTTCAGGTAAAATCATACAATGCCTTTTGGTAATTCTCTTAGTTATACTACTTGAAACTATATGCTGGCATTTGGTTGGCTTTAGTGGCAAAATTGACTTTATATGCATCTTTAATGGTGGTTATCACAAAGTCCCATATAGACATGTACAAATGAATTGCATTCTTATTTGTTTCTTTTTTATTTCAACGATTTCTTCAATTGGCAAATACTTCTGCCTACATTGATTAAACTTATTTTCTTTTTTAGAGGCTACTGCTGCACCGCCAGGTAAGAATAAAAGGGCATGGATAACAATGAAATACTTTCTTGATAACGCAATTTTTCCCTACTTCAGGCCTTCCCAACTACCAGACTCGGCACCGTATCATACCCTGAACAAATTTTGAGTGGTGATGCAATGCTTTTCAACCCCGCTGAGAATCGTCACTTTCACATCGCGTACTAGGCAAGAGCGGTGTCGCGTCTGATACTGTGTAATGCGATCTGATACACACCTTGAAAACGGGTAGTGTGGTCCGATTTACCGGTGAATTCTGGATCATTTGGTGCCGAGTCTGGTAGTTGGGTAGGCCTGTACTTTACTTATAAAAATTTTATATGTTTGAAATCCATACATGTCAATGTCCAAAACAGAATTATCTTTGCAGTCGACGTTTTCAATATCTAATATTTACCGAACAGATGAAATTCATGTATTAATTTCATATTTATAATAAAAATGGTCAACTTTGTAATATTTACAGTTTGCAAGGCCAAGGCAGACATAATATTTATTTTGGACGGATCTGGTAGCGTCAGCGCACCCGACTTTGCCAAACAACTACAATTCATCAAGTCTTTGGTGAGAAAATTCGACGTTGGACCAAACGCGGTAAAGGTCGGCGTTCTGCAGTACTCAACCAACACAGTGCAGGAGTTCAACCTTAACACTCACAACACCGAGGCCGCCATCCTAGCCGCCGTGGACAGGATCAAGCAGAAGAGAGGTGGTACTAACACAGCTTTCGCCCTCTCCACCGCCCGCAAGAGTAGTTTCACGGCTGCCAAAGGCGATCGGCCGAACGTCCCGAACATCGCTATAGTCATGACTGACGGCCAGTCTATTAACATGGCGGCGACCGCCAGAGAAGCAAACATGCTGCGTAATATTGCGTCTGTGTTCGCAATTGGAGTTGGTAGTAATGTTAATACTGCCGAGCTGAAGGCCATGGCTACCGACCCGGATAGCAAATATGTGTTTACTGTGATAGACTTCAGTGCGCTGTCAAATATAGAGACAAAGTTAGCTACGGATGCTTGTGCACGTGATTAGCTTATCTCTTAGCACGAAAATAAACGCATTAGCACCCCTTAAAATATGGATGCTCATATCTGTTTATTGACAGCCGAATACTGCGACGTGTAGCTCTCAAATCTTTATCTTACTTTTCACCTAAATACGTCGTAGATACACTAAAAAAACTAGACTTGAGCTGATAGCGATATGAATAAGTTAAGCTTCATCTTCGTAAGCTTCATCTTCAGTGATGATGGCCTGAAAGCAGCCCTTAGCAGTAATGTTGGCATTATTTGATCATAATCTGTGATTATGTGATTTACGGAAGTCGGTGCATGTCGGTTTGGGGAAGTATTGTTTTACAGCAGCTGTTTTAAGGGTGGTTAGCACAAAGTTTCAAATAGACATGTAGTAATGAATTGCATTCTTATCAGCTGCATTTTATTTCAACGATTAATTAGTAGGGTGTGGCGAAATACACTTTATCAAGAATGTATTTCATTGTTATCCATGCCCTTTTACTCTTACCTGGCGGTGCAGCAGTGGCATCTAAAAAAGAAAATAAGTTTAATCAATGAAGGCATTAGTATCTGCGAATTGAATAAATCGTTGAAATGTAATGCAAGTCGTACGTAGGGAAATACACGTCTTACCAGACCAGACGAGGCTGGATTTATTAGTATAGACACTTGGCTTTTGTTCTGTTTCATGAATACGACGTCTTGCAGTCACATTTTGCGATATTATGATTTTTCTGATGTGTTGTTTATATTCAGATTTCAATAAATTTAAAAAGGCAAACATCACAGTTGTGTCAGATTTCAGTCATTAATTTTTTTGTTTTATTTTTACTCTACAACAATGTTTTGATTTCAGACATTAACGCAGCCTTTCAGTGAGGGAAATATCGCAGTTAGACGTACAATTAATAACAAATCTTTACACAAAACACGAGATATCTTCTGTGAGATTTTAGTTTTGCATTAAGAAGAGTCACAAACTCAAACTCATTGGAAATTCTTTCTGTCAACGGTCTGTCTGTAAACGCTCCCAATTTCAATTCCAGTACAAAAATCGTCAAAACACTTCCCCCGCTGTTACACCTTTTTCTTTCTTTTGTCAAACATTCTCACCCTTGCTACATGTAACTGACCAATCAGTTGTCTAATACCCAAGAGCTCGGTCAGAGACGTCACAAAAGTGGTGATTTTGGACCACGTGTTTGTAGTGGTCACCGGTCTGCACCCCTAGTTTGAAGTCTTAATGTGTTTTAAAAAACACAAAATGAACAATATGGATACTGTAAATCAATGACATTTTTTTAAATTTAAGAGTGAAAAAGGAGAACTGATATGAGATAATTGTGATTGGTCAGTTTCTCACGTCATGTGCGTTAGATTTTCGGACTGTTCTGAGTGTTGTAATGAAGAAGCATTAGTGAAATGACATTCCTAGCAGATAAATTTTCTGTTCAGCCAATAGAAATAAATACTTGTCAAATGGGCGGACTAACACAACTTGCAATATACAGGGTTAATACTTAATATGTAATATTTTTTATCATTGTCATTTTTAAGTGCAGATTCAATTTTCTTGGCTTTACTCGTCAAAAAAAGGAAGTCATTGAGTGATAGAAATATCCAGTCTTCTATTGTGAGATATTTTGGTCAATAATATCAAATCTGACATAAGATGTCATTTAAAAGAAAAGAACACCCCCAGAAATCTATATCAACAGTTTGATGTCAGTATTAACTTCAAGCTAATATATTAAAGAAAAAATGGCCTACGGACAGTGATATGCTACACAGGCAAAGAGCTCATCACAGTTAATCATGAAAAGTAATCAACAGCGGGTATGACCTCCAGCAGCCGCTTACAGTACCCTCACCCTACATGGCATTCCCTGTGGCAAGTTTTTTAGAGTTTGGATGGGGATATCATTCCACAAAATGATATTTGCCTGTCGCAGTTCATCACGATTTACCGGCTGATGGTCATACCTGTAGTTATTAATTCTGCGAGTTACTTCCGCCCACAGGTTTTCAATTGGGTTCATATCTGGGGAGTTTACAGGCCAGGGCAGTTGCTGAACCCATAATATCAAATCTGACATAAGATGTCATTCAAAAGAAAAGAACACCCCCAGAAAACTATATCAACAGTTTTATGTCAGTACTAACTTCAAGCTAAGATATTAAAGAAAACGAAAGCCTCCGGACAGTGATATGATACACAGTCAAAGAACTCATTACAGTAAATCAGGAAAAGTCAGCAATAACAGGTATGACCTCCAGCAGCCGCTTGCAGCACCCTCAACCTGCATGGCATACCCTGTAACAAGCTTTTTCGAG